TTTTGACATTTAAAAACTTTGAAAGCTTCTAGTGTGGAAAATTTTAGGCCTGTTCACACAAGGCAGGACCTGACATGATATTAAGGTGAGACACTACAGGAAAAACCAAACATTGTTTATGTACCCGTCAATATTAAGATTTTGCTTCCATAACAGTATTCTTACACTATAGTGGAGAGAAAACGGTTTTATTCCTTTCAATATTCTGAAGCTTTTTACAGAGGGGTTGCATATATCATTCAGTCAGATTTATACAACATGGAGTTCCTAAAGACGGCGAAAATGTGCTTTAGTTTTCTTCTGGCTGTTGACTGTGTTTTCTGATTAACGGAGCAATAAAAAGAGATATTTAAAATTCCCTCTTTACAAACCCGTGACTCTGATATGTTAAAATGAAACAAGAATAATTGGAAAATTGGAAATTTTAATTATAAAACACATTTTAGTGATAAACATTTTGTTGGCGTGTAGCTTTACAGCAAAAATACAACCAACATCAAATAAAGTGTGTCTAAAGTTAACTGAAGTACAGATAATCTTATGAATGAAAGAATTCAAGGTAAATTACTATTACTTATGTTGCACATTTAAAACAACAGCTGAGTCAAAGATGTTTCCAGGAGAGAAATGCGATCGACATTTTCCAAACAAGTTTAAATATTCAGGTTGAGACAACACAGTGTTATTAATGATGAAAACGGATCTGACAAATTAAGAAATTAGAATGTACAAAATCTCACATGGAAAACTCAATGAATCCAAGGACAGAGAGTCACTAAACTCAAATCAAGTTTATTGTAAAAACTTAACAACCGAGTAAAAGTAACAGCACATTAAAAAAAAAAAAAACAACTACACTGGTATTGCTTGAAGTATCCAGCTATATCCCCTAGTGCACAAACTAGAAAAAAAAATATATCAGCAGCTGTAGATCCACAGAAGAACAAACTAACGGACAGGTCAGGCACTTAGACAGAGGAGATGGAAAGTATGTGTACAAATACATTCAAAGTGGAAAAAAGAAAACAGCAAAGAAAAGACAGCAAAACACAGGTGATACTGTGAGAGGGCTTTGGAAGACAGTTGGCCAAATTTCACATCAAGACAAGGAAGAAATAATAATTTAAAAGCCTCTAAAATAACAGCACAGTATATTTGTTACTATACATTGTTGTTACGATAACACAAAAACTAGTGCCAGCCTCTAACAGTCGTTCTCTTCCACAGCGTGTAGGCTTCCTGCCGTCCTACCATTTGTGCGTGCCGATGTTTAGTTCGACTTTTTTTGTAACCTCACTCTTTGTACAGTCGCATTCGAACAAATAAAACCAACAAACATAAAAACCCACCCGTGTTTCCTCTCTTTAAAAAGCCGATTCACGCTCGGATACATACCTGACGTTTACCGAGGTCAGTGCAAACTCTGGTGTCAAAGTGACGTGGCCCTAAAACTGCAGCAGTTCTCGCTCGGAGCTTTATATGTACACGACAGTAACAAAATCCTCACAGGTCTGGTTCCTATTTAAACTACTTAACAGTTAGACGTTTAGGAGAAGACACCACAGGTTGTTGCAAGTAGTACCAGATATAGTTAACGTTTCTTATTGATACATACATTGTAATGCGTTTAATGATGAGAAACAGTACTTTACAGAAGGCCAAGACGCTGATATCAAACACCTACACATCGAATATGTAGCTGCTTTACTTTAGTAAATATCTCACCTGCTACACCTGAAATATGTCAGTTTGTGCCTGTTTTGTTAATGGCAGAATGCGATGAAAATGAACGTTTGTGCTGTTAAACATGAGCCCTGCTCTCATGAAGCAGTCAGATGCTGGTGTGGTAGATACCAGGATCTACTTTCATCATCTGGTTGCTCGCTTAACTTTTCCCTCCAGTAACAGATTTTTTCTTTCCTCCTCAGGCTTGTGTCGTTGCATATAGTAAATACTGCTTTCCAATGTAAGCTGTTACATTCAAACCACCAACTACTATGTTTTCCTATGACAGTCTGCAGAGAAAGGAGTCTTGTTGAAGCCGCCCGAGACGACCGACGGGAGAGAAGCGTCCGTCTCCTCGGGCTGGTGAGTAATAAGCAGGAGTGTATTAGTGGGCTGAGGTGGGGGGGCAGTGGGGGCTGCTGGTCATCAAACTGGAATTGTGGGACTAACTGTTGATACAACCGGCAAGTGCAAAATGGCTGCTTAAACAACCAGTGGTGCCCAGTCGCTGGGTTTTTGTCCATACTGGATGGAGAAAGGAAGAGAGGGAAGAATAAGTTAATCAGAAAATGTGGATGTTAAAAGTTGAATCTGCACTGTGAGACGTTTTGAATTTACAATATGAGCTAGAGCTGCAACCGTGTTGAGAAGTAACCAAATCTTTCTGCGTAAATATCTCATGTTACAATGTGGACACCTGCAGCTTAAAGACAAACTACTGTGCAACTTCTGTGACAGTGAATAGTTGAAGGTGGAGTCTGGAGACCGCTGACGCTCAGATATTCAGATAGTTACTCCAACTGCTCCCTTCTCCTCCGTGCACGAGTGTGAACGTGCACAGGACACTCTGAAATCTGCTTAAGTCTAATGTAATAACCATTTCCTGGTCTAAATTCTACTTCAGATCCCAAAAGCAAACAGTGAAGCACCATTTAGGGTTAAAGGGTCAAAAGATCCACGAAAAAAAAGAGGATTCACAAGGTTGAGGGGAGTGAGAAGTTAGCAGTAAGCTAGTTTTTAAACACTATTAAACTTTAGTTTAAAAACAAAGAAGTATTGATTTAAATAGTCCTCTGGATGACAATCTAAATACGCTAATAAGCTAAATATAAACAATCTTTGTCCAGAATCTCAGTTTCCACCTTTAAATATTCACAATTACACAAGTTTTGACCAGAGCCCAAACTTTTGCATGCTACTGTGCACTTAGCATAGTTCAAAATAACACAAAAAGGATGTAATGTACTTTTTCTTTTTGATGACACAACTAACATGAACAGACTGTTGAACTTTAATTTAAAAATACAGCCATGTCCTGTGTAAGTTTGGTTGTCTTTGCTGTAAAAAGGTGTAAAACACACTGAAGACGGATACTTCTGCATAGAACGAGTGGAAATATGTTCTCTTTTGCTGCCACTTGGAGGCGTTGATATGCAAGTTGCTTAACTCCGTTTTAAGGAAGCTGTAATAAATAGAGTGTGCTAATCCTACCTGAATATCAGTAAGCTCTTTGTGGAACCTCTTTGCCAGGTCCGGACCGTTCTGCATGGTGGGGATCTGGTACGTCTGAAACAAGAGGAGCAGATACTGGTATGACATTTGAGTCCTGATTCATCACAGTCCTCCCTCGGGACCAGAACACAAACTGTAGCCATTGCTGATCTTGCTATTCCCACAAACCACATTCATCTCACACATTGTTCAAACTTCCAGGACCCTCATTTATATATAAAGCCATAAGGAACATTAATGTAAAAGCTACTGATTTCCGATAAATCCATCAATTTAAAACCCAGACAAATTGACTGTTAAATGTTCCATGTCTGAAAAGGACTAATGAGTCCAACAGACTGAACACATTATAGGAAAAAAACACAACAGCTACAAATCAGAGAAAGTGAAGAACGTCAAAGAACTCAAGTCACCCGACGCAGTCAGCGAGGGACAAGAGGTGAACTCCTACCTTTCCTTTGTAGAGGAGGCTGCCGACGGGACAGACGACGCAGGCCGTCCCTGCTCCAAACACCTCCAGGACTCTTCCAGCATCCAGAGCACTGAGCAGCTCCTTCATGACCATGTTGCGCTCCGTCACCTTGAACTCCCCCTGAACACAAGAGGGCAAAGATGAGATGGGACTCCTCATCACTGGTAGACGATCAGAATGATCTCTGAGCAGGTTCAAGACTAGAGGCCCGGATATGTAAACTACATCACAAAAAAAAGCAAAGAAGAGGATAAAACTTAGAAATATTTGTGTTTTTACTAGTTTCGGATTGAGGTTTTGTAATTCCGTATAGCGTGAATCCCCCCCCCTGAGGGCTCAAACCACCTGCTATTGTAAAGTTGCAGATTTAATGCCAGCCTCCTCTTTTCCATGTGTTGAACTCTAGCAGTCACACTTTCTGTAATCACACTTGTAATTCGTCCAGCAATTGTGAGACTCGTTTAAGGAGCTCAGTAGTTAAGGCTTTGGGCTGCTGATCTGGAGGTCAGGGGTTCAAGCCCCAGCACTGCCAAGATGGCAGAAGGAAGAATTTGGGATCAGAAAGGGCATCTAATACAAAAAATCATGCTGATGAAATACTGGAGCCTCGATGGTTTTGATGGAATCTATCAAGGTTTTGATTTGTGGCTCTAAAAGCAGTTTCATAGCTGAACAGGATTTCTCTTCTCCATAAACACAGGGTTTCTATGGAGACATTTCTTGCTGCTGCTACAGTTAATTTAAGATGCACAGCAGTAGACATTTAGGGCTGCACCTCCACTTGGCTAAGAACTTGCTCACATTACAGCGGTTACTATAACAGCTGTGGTCGACCTACCCATCCTCTGGCCAGGTCCAGCAGAGACTGTCTGGTGACTCCTGGGAGAATGATGCCGTCCAGAGGAGGCGTCACCAGCTCCCTCTCTGCAGACACACAACAAACATCTGAAGATCTGTGACGGAGCAGAGCTTCTGCTGAGACGAATGAATCATAGAAAGAGTCTGACCTCCTTTTTCATTGGTCCAGTAGATGAAGAGGTTCATGGTGCCGACCTCAGTGATCTCCTCCTTCTCTCCGTACAGCCACAAAACCTGCTGGCAGCCTCGCTTCACCGCCTCGTTCTGCACCGCTATTGTAGGACCGTAATTCCTGGAAAGAGACAAAATAAATATAAACGCACTCAATAAATATGAAGAGACCGGCTTGGACAGAAAGAATGGGTTTCAAGAAGTAGCCGGGATGTTCCATTAAGTAGCTGTTGTGTTTTTCTGAATAGCATTTTCTGTTTACGGGGAGTACTGGGGTATCTGCAGGTTCACTCGTGTTAAACCAAACAGCTTTCAAGACCACTGATGATTGTTGTAATGTTAGTTACCACAGCGAAAGAGCACAGCGACTTAAACCTGCATTCTCTCCAACAGTCAGCAGGAGGCGACCTTTTGAATGCATTCAAAGTTTAAAACTGTAATCCACAAACCAGTGGGTGACTTTGTGGTGGTTACAGCCATCTTTTACGCACAGTCTATGATTAAGACTAGCTACATCCTCCCACAAATCCCTCCCCAACATCTATTGCATCTAAAATTTGTCATATTTTTCATATTTACTACCAGTGACAGGTTGAAACCAACCCTAAGGTGGCATGATGTAACAGCTACCTGCTGCAGGCACTAATAATTCTGCATCGATAGCAACAGGGAACTCTGAATTCCTGACAACTGACTTGGAAGAAAATCTAAGAAAATGCCACCAGAAGTTGGGTTTCCATCTCTGTAATGCAAGTAAATTGTATTAACCTGGATTGCATTTGACATTGTTCCTCAAAACAATGTGGCCAATTTATTTTTTGTGTCTTTTTTTTGCTGTTTTTCTTCAGTTAACACGTCTGTTAATGAGCAACTGTTGTCGAGGCTTTTTTTTCTCCATTTTGACGGAATTTTGAGATCCGTCAAATGCATTTTCTATGTCTGTTTTGTTTTATTTTACATTTTTAAATGCTACAAAACTGTTTAAATCTCATCTGCTGTGTCTGTAACATTTCAAAGACTTGTGAAGTAAAGATTTAAGGACCTCATGTATGTTTTAAGAACAATTCATTTCAATTGATTTCAGATAAACTGACACTTTTTAGGGATCTGTGCACACTCTGTATGTATTCTCCCTTAATCTCTACATGTGGTTTGAATTGTTTTACACAAACTTTTCAAAATACATCATTGAAACTTAGCTGAAAAGCAGCAACATGAATGAAGTAACACCAGACAGAAAGGTGTTCGTCCTGAGAAGGAAGAATCCTCCTGATAAATACCATCCGTGTGAACAACAGCTTATTGTTATTTTAAAACATAAACCCTTCAACTAACTTCTGTGAACAAGTGAAACACAACCCTCTCGACTACCGAAACATGTAACCTAAGAATTGCCAAGAACACTGTGAGAAATATGCAGGACACGCATGACTTGTGGAAACATCACTGAACAATGACGTTCACAGTGTAGAGTCCAGCGACGAGTCACGCTTGACTATAGAAATGTGTCACCAAAATAAGGATTTTTCTGCAGAGGAGAATTTTTTGTGCCCTGAAAGAGGTTTTAGCTGAAACAACAACGATAAAAGTTGAGAATCTCACCAGTTTTGTTAATAAGGGTTTAATTTACTCAAGAAAAAATGATGGTTTGGTCATCAAAGGCAAAGACTGAAGTCAAAAAGGGTGACACGGAGCTACTGTCTTCACTGAACACAGACTGAGCATCGTGTTTGGTCACCCTGCGAGGATGAGCAGGAAAAACAAGGTGACAAACAAAAAGTCCGGACATACAATCCCTCTGTGATGACATTCTGGTTGTTGTGTCAAAAAGAAAAGCAGAGCAACATGAGCAGTGTTTCTGTGCTTTTAATAGTCACCGTCCTTTTTAGCAATCCCTCAGTCTCCTTCAATATCAGGCTCCTCACCAGCTGATTGTAGTTTATGGTCTTGTAGCACATTCTTTACATTTACTTTAGATTTCTTCGTCATCTCAATTGTCTGTATTGTTTTCTGCTTTGTTGTTTTTTTTCCACACGTCTGTCTGTCCTGGGGTCAGTTTCACAAAGCAACAGACTCATAGTTTTCACTAAACCTGCTTTGTGAAACGGACCCCTGGACTATTGACTACTTTTCCTGGGGTCCATTTGTCAAAAAAAAATAAACTATTTTGGGGGAGTTTTTTCTTTGCTAAATTGAGTTTTTTTTAGGACATCTTTAAGACAAACTTGTGATTAGAAAAGTTGGTCTTCATCAAGTTGGGCTCTGATCTAGACATTAGATCTAAACAGTCTGATCAGTGGTCGCTATAAGAGCTGATCAGATGACACAAAACTGGTGAGACATTTTCCTCTCCATGCAACTAACATCGTCTTTCTACTGGTGTTCATAAAGGACAACAACTTTGCAATTTGCTTGTTGTTTTCCCCAAAAAATCCCTCATTGATTAAAGAAACCAAAACAGTTTTAGTATTTTATACATACCAGTAGATCAATACTCAATACATAATGTCAGGAATGGCTAAACAAATAAAGTGAATGTACAACAACATCAAAAAAAGGTCCATGTTTCGAGGGAGTATTTCAACATCCTCAACATCAAATCCACACAGTTAATAAACATATTGTAGCGGGTTTCCTGTCCTAAATTTCTGCCGGCCCTGCTGGAGTCTCATGACCGCTGCTGCTAAATCAGGCTCCATAGCTGAACTGCACCGTTGGCCTTGTGACGGGAGGAGCTCAGACTGTTGGCTTAGTGAGCCGACGTTATGTAACCGGAGCGGAGCTGAGCAGGTGCTGCTTCAGGCTGCAGTCGTGTGGAGGCAGGTCTGTGATTACAGGCTGAGAGGACGGACAGAGATTAAACCGAGTGTCTTTAAAAAGCTTCACTCCTGATCGAAGAATCTGCTGCTGTTTGCTTCCTGCACTCGTCTCACCTCAGTTCTTCTTTCATTATTTTTGACCTCAAACGGCTCAACGTTGTCACGGCAGACTGTCACAGCAGAGACTTCAGGTTCATCAAATGTTCAACAGGTGGAACCAGTTGTATCAGTGACCCAGAACATTTTAATGACTGTTGATTTCTAACACTCTGCTTTGAAGCCGACACACCCACTGAAACAAGCATTGCTACATACTCAACCTTGTCTCGTCTCTTTTTGGTCCTGATTTGATCCTGACACTGTAATGTTCGGTAGCTGCCTTTCTGAAAGCAAAGTGGAAAATCCAAATACTTGAACTTTGTCCAGATCCACTGCTGAGCGCTCCAGAAGCTTCCCCCAGCCAGGACAGCAAATAAACTACTTCAGAATTCTACACGCTTTCATTACAGCACTTTAATTGTGCAAAAAGCAGCATCACTTAATTGTTGTTATTCTTCTTAAATAAGCTACCAGCTTTTCATAGGCTAACGTCACAATAATACGACACACAACTTCTGCTATTTTTACACCTAGTGTCCCAACTGAAGCGTTTTAATTACATAAAAAACCAAATGTCTTTCTATACATTTGGGCCACAAATGCAATTAATTACAGTTGAAGTGAGGTTCTAAAGTACCTCACCTCAGTTTCTGTATTGTTGCTTTGCGTAATGAGGATATGTTTGAAATGGCAACAATAATAAATATGTGCTGTTTTTTCTTTACACTTGTTTTGCACTAGCAGCTACAAGTCTACAAGCGCTGCTGCACCAATTTACTGGTTTCATCTCCAATATTACTTTGTCCTATCTATCTATCTATCTATCTATCTATCTATCTATCTATCTATCTATCTATTTATCTCTTAAAAAGGGAGCTTTTTGCTTCCTACTGTTGCCACAGAGCTGCTCAAAGGGAATCACTGGTTGTTCAGGTTTCTGTCTATAATACTGGGAGGTTCATACCTTACTTGGGTTGTGAACTGCTGCTACAGAAATCACTGTTGCTGTAGAATTTTCTACAACTAAGCAACCGACCGTGTGCTTCATGTTTACAGCGGCATGTTCAGCGTACATGATGCTCACGTGTTTTCAGCCACGTCGTCTGCATGGAGAGTACTTCTGAAATAGAGCTGGAACGTTTTGAACAGAGATTGTTTTCAAACAATCTGAACAGTGTTAAATAATGTTTGTTTTTTTATTTTATCAAGTTATTGTCATATTTTGTCTATTCATGGCAACTTATGAGCGACAGTTTTAATGAGAAATCGAAATGTTTTCTTGTCTCACTCTAACAGATGTCTCAGTCTTTATGCAGGCAGCTGTGAGGGAACATCCTCCACCGTAGCGGACATGAACTGTTCTCTGCTAGTAATGGACCACTTTGTTATTGTGAGGCACTGTATTGAGAATTACAAGTGATTTTCTAATTGTTTCAGGTTCCCCAATGCCACTAAAGTTGTGTTTTTATCTGCGGATTTCAGTGGTGTAAAATTTGTTATTGCTTTTTTGTGCAAATCTCAGAGAAAAATCGGTGATTGATACCAAACCAGACTTTCAACAGGTGATATTTATGACAGTCGTACAACTCAACCTCAGAAAGAAAGTAAAAAAACAACAACTTGTAACTTGCCACGTCTACAGATAAAGAAAGATCCAAACTCACCCTCCCATCTTGTAGGCACCGACTCCTCCCTGCCACGCTCTGACAAACGCTGGATCTGCCAGCAGGGAAACTGGGTTGAAGGATCCTGTGGCGAAGTAAGGTCCCACTGGGCCGACGATGACAAAGATCATGGCTTTTCCTGCCCGAGAGACGCCGAGAGACGGCTGGGTGAGGCGGGTGAGGAGAGAGAGAGAGAGGAGTAGACAGGTGAGGAGGAGGAGGACCACACTGACCCCGCTGGTTGATTTACTCGGCAGGGCTGAAGCTCACCTCGATTCCTATGAAGGTGGGCCTGATGTAGAGGCTGGCGTCCTGAGAGTAGGGGACCCACTCCTGGTCCACCTCCACCAGCTTCCTGATGCACTCCAGCAGCTCGGCTTTATCAAAGAGCTGCACGGGAGAAACACCGCAACAGTCAGATGGTGATATTTCATCAGTCATCTGCCTCTTTCATCCTGTTTGCTCATAAAAAATTATGTTTCATTCAGTGTAATGAGACTTCTATATAAACTGTTTCAAACCAAACATCATTCTAATGTAAAAATACTCTTATCTTTAGAATTAAATGTTATACAATCTGCTGTTTTCCTCTACACAACCGAAACACTAAAGGCACCTGAAGGCAACATTTTCTGCTGCAGACTGACAAACATTACAGAGGCAGATTTCAACCAAGTTTCCAGGATTTTTCTTACTCTGAGTAAATGAGCTCTGTGTGTAAACAGCCTGAAGAGTTTCATCTGGGAGCTGCACTGATTGACAATCATGTTGCTCAAATGTTTTCTGGGTGTTCTTGTGTGGCTTCAGCCTCCAGTGAGAGTTAAAGACAGACCAGTTGGTTCAGTTTAAGCAGCAGATTATTGAGGGTAAAGGGTTGTACGTGGCTGCAGAGGTTTGATAAACTACGGCTCAGTTGTCCACACATGAATGGAGCCTAAAGTAAAAATTTCTCCACTGATTGTTTTTCTTTTAGTCACAGACTTGACTTCAGACTTAACCGAACAGACAACACCCCACTTCTGCAGCTGCTAATCAGACAGTTTTCATTTGAAGGCTTCTTTACCTTCACTATACTAGAACTGTACACTGACTGTTCTGTCTTACTGCATTGTGTTGAGTCTTGTGTGTTTATGTATTGTGTTGCTATTTCAGGGTGTGCCGTGTCATGCTGTGTCTTGTGTCGTTAATTTTCGCATTCAACTGTAATTTGCACTAAGAGTTTTTATCTTTTTAAACTTGTTTTATCAAGCAAATATTTTTTGAAAAGTGTTTTTTGTGATGAACACAGTAATAAAGAAATCCATGTGTCTATCTATGCATACGAGGTGTGTCAGAAAAGTTCCAGGACTGGTGTCACAAAAAATATATTTCAAACCCAAACTACAAACTACAAGTTTTCCCCTATCAGACGATCAACCAGCACGTCTACAAAGAGATCCTGTGGCGTTTGCTTCGTTCAGTGCGCGAGAAGAGGTGAGAGTTGTGGCAGGACAAGTGGTGGTTGCTTCACCATGACAACACACCTGCTCACAATGCCCTGAGCATCCGACAGTTCCTGGCTGAGAAGAACATTACCGTGCTGGAGCAACCTCTCTACTCACCCCACCTGGCTCCGTGGGATTTTTTCCTCTTCCCCAAGCTCAAGGGGGTCATCAAGGGGACTCGTTTTGAGGACATGGACGACATCAAGATGGCTGTGATGATGGAGCTAAGGAGGATCCCAGAAGAATCCTTCCAGGAGTGCATGGCAGCATGGCAGAGAAGGCTGGGGAAGTGTGTTAGACTCCAGGGGGATTACTTTGAAGGGGAAAACTTGTAGCTTGTAGTTTGGATTTGAAATATATCTTTTCTAACACCAGACCTTGAACTTTTCTGACACATCTCGTACAACCTTGTCTAGTAGACTGATTTGAGAAATGAAAAGTTAGCACTACTGATCCATAATTATTTAATCTTGTCTTTTACATTCAAAGTCATTCACCAGAAATGTGAACTTGCATGTATTTGGCTGCTGTAGCTCTTTGCCAGATGATGTATTGCAGCAAAATTGAGCCTGAGTCTACTACATTTTCTTTGCCAGAGCCTTCGGTCTGCTTGGCAGCTCCACCGACAGAGACTGGGCTCTACCTACAGTCTGAACAAGGCCTCAGTGTTGCTATAAATGTTTTTTTCAGAGCTGTTTCCACTCTGATCAGAATAATACGCTATGCGACAAAATACTGACTTTGACCTGATATAAGGTGGCGTGGAAGTTTCTGAGAACGAGGTGGAGTAAAGACTCACAGGGAGACAGCTTCTGTCAGCGCTGCGATGCATCCTTTCCATGTTCAGCATTGGCCTGAACAGACGGATGTGGTTGTCGACTCCACGGAATGCCTTCATGCCCTCAAACAGCTGGAGAGAAAAACACACGACATGCTGTCAAGCAATGTGGAAAACGTGCAGAGAAAGTGTCTTTGCCTATTTTACTGCTCATTTAACAGCTTCTTCACTTTATTTGTTTAACAGTCAGATTTTGATCTATGTGTTTTCCTGCAGCTTCACCGTGGCCGTGGCTTCCAGCCCTAGAGTGGCTAGTTTCTAACTCAAGAAGAAGTTTCAACCTGTTCAGCAAGATTCATACAAGAGAAGCACAAATAGAATTGTACAATGACAAGCATGCAGGAATCATCAGTCATTAGCTGTTTTATATAAACGTCTTGGCCTACAGCTTGGAAAGTACTTTAGTCAACCTTGGTTGTTTTTAAATGTGCTATTAACATAAAGTTGACTATATCAGTAATAATAAGAACTTTATTTGTATGGCACTTTTTCTTTTTTAAAACTAAAGTTACATACATATACTTACATATATATTTACACTATAAAGTGCTTTCAAATAAAGCAAATGTCAAATTAGACAAATAATGAAAGCAAATATGATCCTAGGCATGCAACATTAGATAATTTTTTTTTTAATAAAGCTCAAACCTTCCTCCAGTAAATAGATTATGTTGGTTATTACAAAAATAACCTAACAAGTGTAAATAGTAAGGTCAAGACCTTACAGCGTTATTTATGGTGTGAGTTTATGGGAGTAATTTACATATGTGTTTATTTATTTAAAAGGGACAGTGCACATTAATGAAAACGGAAAAAATACATATTATAAATGTGCCAGAGTTAGCACAAATGCTAGTCTGCGTCTGTTGTCCCTTGGTGGGTCATAGACTGAAAAAAATATTAACTCACAAGGCTTTAAAATACACAAATACAATACAATCAATAATACACAGTGCATGATGCCTATACGTATATGTATCTGTACGCCACAGACAGTCTACCTAGCTGTGAGAACAAGCTTGGTTACTAGGGATTAAAACCTGCAAAAGTTTGATAAAACACTACTCTCCCTAGCGATAATAAATATTAAGGTTGAGAACCTGTAATGCAACATGTAACTAATTTAACAGAATAGCTAATTACCCTGAGGTAGCATAAAGTTTTGACCTGCCAATATATACATGAAAACCCAACAATTCCAATGATTCCCTGGATCCTCTTTGTTTTCCGTTCGGTTAAAGCTTCAGGACTACAGCAGATGTGATGTGCAAGCTTCACCTCTATGGAGTAGTGCAGCGCAGAGGAGGCCGGGTGCAGCGACAGGTTCTGGAAAGGTTTGATCTGAGGAGCCTCCCAGCCGTCCTTGTCCGACCAGTTGATGGTCAACATGTGGTCAGAGAACTGTTTGCCGAACACCAAGCTGGACGGCTCGGGCTTCGGTTTGCATGCCGGGTTGCGTTCGATGGTCAGATCTGCTGCCTGAGGAGGGCGAGTGAGGACCAAAGAAGAAGAAGAAGAAGAAGAAGAAGGAGGAGGAGGGACAAGAGCAGAGCAGGCGACGAATACAGTGATCGTTTTTAAATTACTGGCAGAGCATGCTGTTAAAGGACAATTAGTGGATGTTACACAGAATCAGTGGACAGTTTTCTGGTCAATTAGCCACAATTAATGGGGTTTAATTAAACTGATTTAAAAATTACAACAGGCAGACAATGAGAGAAACACAGAGGAGGAGAAACATTTTAAATCTCTCTTCAGAAAAGTCTTCCATAAAGCTTCATGAACATGTTGTGAGCAGCCAGACGTGTACAGTCACGTCAGCTACACCGAGCTGAGGGGCAACAACACGGGTCTTACCTGGCAGGAAGGAAAGAGTTAAAGTTTGTACCTTGAAGGAGCTGGCGAACCGCAGGGAGCCAAATGAGAAAGGAAGGGCCTGAACAAGTCGTCCATGGAGTGCCTGGAAATTAAGCATTAACAAGCTCTTTATTCAATACGAGAAAAGGTTTTACTGCACAATGTCGAGGTTTTCCAGGTGACAGTAATGTAACAAGGGACACAGTGTGTGACATTGTGTTTTGTGGGTGTGTGTGAATCAGCACCAATCATTTTCTCTGCCATTCAATGTATGTAGCTGCTAACGCGTGCCTGCGCCAAGTGCTCCACTGTAAATAGAATCGGGCACATATGCAGGCGACTCTGCACAAGCAGGAATGCAAGGTGACAAAGGGCGGCAATGTAAGATAAATGACCAGCGAACACACAGACGACAATATCCTGGTGTAAGAAAAGAGCAGAGATGTGTCAGTGAAGCGATGGCAGTTCAGGAAACGTAACGAGCTGTTTTAATCTTATACTGACTTTTAACAGGATGTAATCTGCTCCTCTTACTTGTTCAACTTGCATATGAATAAGTCGCCCAGGCAGTTTGAGACTTGTGAAGCCGGTTGTGCGCTTGGCAATCTCATAGTTAATCCTTAAACATACAGAGTGAGGTTCACATTCCCAACATGGTGCTGAGTTTGACATGCTGGAGACGCTTGTTCCTCGATGTCTAGGACACCTGCGTTTGTCTCTAAAGGAATGGCAAGGGCAGGTCTTCTTTCATCACAGCTGAATCGTTTCTCACTCTTAAAATATGAATTAGAAGCAAACACAACCACTGACTATTGTGGAAAATATTCTAATGAAACCTATAGCCAAACATATACATCTGCATAAATGTATATATGTGTGCGATGCATGTAATTAAATGTATTGTCAGTTTAAATAATTTATTCTCAAATACTGAAATGCTTTCTTGTATGCAGAGCACTTGCTGATGTTATGCATTCATTAGGCTATAAATACTGTTGTTTTGCTTTAAGTGATCTTAAATTAAACAATTTTTGTGCTTGAAACCTTAAAATTAAAACTGCATTCCTGCTAACCTTCTCCTCCATGGTAACATTCTCCTCTGTCAGGGTCTGCCAGAGGAAATCTAAGGCCATGGCTCATACTGATGCTGCTTTGCCAACTACACTACTTCATGTCTCTTGTGCTCAACTGCACAAACTCAACCACATCTGGCTGTGGATTATAGAACAGTATAATTAACACAGTAGAAATTCCTACAGAAAGCTGCACAGTGACTCTGCTGCAGGACTTCATGCAGTTAAATGGATGATGCAAGTTTTGCTTTTATTGCAGCCATGAGTGTGTAGCTACAGCTGTGGTATGCATGTGAATGTGTGATGAATGAAACGTTTTCTTGCCTAAACCCATTTGGACACAGAGTTTTGAATGAAAGTGAAATTTCATTAGACAATATTAACTTCAACTAGCATTGTGGCTAACATCAGATTCGGACGTTTGTTAATGTATAATGTAAAACACAGGGAAAAACGTGCTGCTAAAACATAAATACACGTGACATGGTTTGTAAATAGGTGTCCTAACAAAGCTGAAAGCCTCACGCCAAATTCCATTCAAAAATATGCCAATTTTACAAACACTTGCTTTCTACGTAGCCATAGAAACACTCCTGTTTGCTCAACTGTCAGTGGCATGTGTGTTACACTTCGGCATATTATCAAGCTACCAAGAGCACACTTTCAAAAAACAAGTACTCTGTTTACCTGCCCCCATCCAGAAAAAACGTGCAAGTTTGTAAGCTGTGCCGCGTAAAAACATCAAATTTAACAAATCAAAATGAATTTTTGTGGGGTTGGAAGAACGCCGAATTTGTTTTAAAGCATTGCCGATTTGCAAACATCTTTCATTTGTGTTTTACGATGTGTGAATCCTAGCCGATAAGCAAAAGTATTTTAGTCGTCATATTTCTGAGTGGGCTTTGGTGCCGCGTCCGCTCCACTCCACGGTGTTTTGCAACCCTCGGTGTTGGCGGGACACAGAAGCCGGAATATAAACCTTATCAGTTCCTCTGCTCAGTAGCGGTTATCTTATCTCTTATTTAGGTGAATCATTTACCCAGAAAATCAATGATTACAAACAGCACAGACAGTGTTGTGAACTCACCGTCCGCAGTGCTGCCATCTCCGCTACGTAACGATGATAAACGAGATTACTCGCTCGTGTGGAAACAAACACCCAAAGTCAACTTGGGTTCCGCTTTGAAACCCGAGATGAGCTGAGTTGAAAGCACCGGGACACAAAACGCCCTTCAAGATATTAACATAAACCCGTTGTTAATTTGTAATCCTTTATAAGTGACCACTTTGTATTTTCTTCTAGTTGCCTGGGTTAATAATTTAAAATAAACCGACTTGATACGGATAAAGAATGTTTGTAGATTTTATACTGTTATTTTTTGTTAAAGATGACAAAAAGGATTTCATAAATGTACCTATATTGGCCCGTTTTATTACAGTCTCAATGAGGAAGTGATGGAGGCGTGACACAAAAAACAGACACGTGATTGGATGAGGAGGAGGGAGGTTATTGCAGGTCACAGAGCTGGATGCTGATTGGTCCATCAGTGGGGAGGGGTGCAGGTCGTGTTACTGCAAATGCAAAAATCTTCCTCCACCAGGCAATCAGCAGAACTAAATAAACTTTATTAGTAGTATTAATAATGAATGAAAAATCCTCCCTGTATTGAAACCGGTTTTAGTCAGCACAGTGTGTAAAATCTGCATAAACCAGCTGCTTCACAGCCAGGAGGAAGAGGAGGATGAGGAGGAGGAGGCTGTGGAGGGTCAGGACAGTCAGGAAGGGATCTGACTCTTGAAGCCATAGTTGAGTTCAGCTCCTCCACTCAGCAGCAGGTCGATGCCGGTGCAGAAAGTGGCTTCGGCGGCGAGATACAGGGCAGCCAGTCCACACTCGGCCTCCGTCCCCATCCGACCCATCAGCTGTGTGAGAGCAGAGCCAGTCATTTCTCATTCCACATACTTGTGGTTGCAGCGACTAACTTCCTGGTGTTTATGTGTGTTTTTTAACACTCCTGCAGCAGCTGTTCCTACCATTTGCTGCAGTCCTGTAAAAGGCAGCTTGTAAAAGAAGTTCCTGAGCTGTTTTTCTGTGCAAGGCTCCATTCAAAAAAAACCTGCAAATTCACTGATCACCACTGGATCCATTTCCAAATAAGGCTGCACCAAATGATCAGTTTCATTATCGATTACTCTATCAGTTATGTCCTTCATTAATCGATTAGTTGTTCAGCCTGTAAAATGTCAGAAAATGTTAAAAGATGTTGATCAGTGTTTCTTAAACACTCAAACTGATTGATTTATAATCAAAATAGTTGCAGATTAATTTAATGGTTGAAACTAATCGATTAATGCTTGCAGGGAGTTTTACATCCTCTACCCTCTTTATTTGAATAACTCAAGTAAATACAGTGTAAAAAGTGTTATTTCCTATTAGAAGCTGGACCCAACAGCAGCACCTGAAGGATGAAGCGCTGCCACGCAGGTATTTGTCTTGTAGTTTTCCACTATGAATAATGAAATGCAAACGGAGACAGATGCTTTCTTTCTGACTGTGATGAAAACGAAGCTAAAAACAAAAAGCAACCTGTTGCAGAAACTGTCTGCTAAGAATCAGGTCTAAAGTCGCTGATGTTTACAACCAGACAGAAAAAACAGCATTCAGTGTTTGGCTCATTAGGAACTGAAGCCTTTGAAGCATAATAATGACTTAGAGGAAACAGAGACTCTCTATTTGTTTTCCAGTTTGGCAGCTTCACCTGCTGAGCAGAAACCTGACGGGACTTTCCTTTAACCATCTGAACCACAAGCAGCTTCTGGGTGTTTTTTGTTTGTTGTTGCTCACATTTTTATTCACTGTGGCCTCATATTTCACTGCAACATAAAGTCCTGCACCTCAATGGAAAAACACAACCATGACTAGAGGTGGAGAGAGCTCAGGTGCCCACATGTGTCACCAATATGGGAAAAAAAATAGAGGCTATACATGCTGTAGATATTTTTACTGTTTATATTTTCACACTACTCTGTACGTCGACTCTCCTCTGTATACCATGTTTGAGCCGTGCTGCGTTTATTTTATTGATCACGTGTTTTAGTCTCAATCTCTCTAAGTAGTTTTCATACTCATTTCCTCTGTCGTCTGTGTAAACGCTGTCTGCAGTTCAGCCAAACAGTCCCTGAAATGTTGTGTTTTGTGTGAATTTTCTGTTGTTAGCAGCTGAGTCATGTAAACCTTGTCAGTTGTGCCAAGGAGCGCAGATTTAATTTTCTTTTTTACCGAATCTAGTGCAAATGTTTTAGTGTTTTTAAAAAATTAGACAAACACAGAGTAATGTCATTACATTTATGACCCATCTGCACGAAGTCAGTCGCAGCAGATACAGCCCCAACTACGTTAACACATGATAAAATATTGATTTTGGGTTTATTACGTAGGTTGGTCTATTTAATTGTTTTCTACATGTAGATAACATATAGGTTCCACATCGCTGTCAAATACCGTCAGCGTGCATGATGGTAACACCAGAAACCACGAAAATCACTTGTGCGCAGGCGCCGCGAGCAGTGTGTCAATGCCAGCGTATCCTGTCTCGTGATTTGCGTCATGTGGTAGCAACATGCCGGTTTTGTTTACGCATAATAGCCCAAGGCACAATGCGACTGATTTTGTGCAGATGGGTCACATTTAAACTAATTAAAATTGGTTAATTTTCCAGATGCAACTGCATCACAGAACTGCAAGTCACAAATGATATGTTCAAGGACAGTCAGTAAGTTGAAAATTTGACAAATATTACAGTTTCTGATAAATGCTCTCATTTTGGATTTTTTTAAAACGATAACTTGCCTTTAAAACCTGCTGACAGGTGTCGAGGTTCAGAGGGTTCAAATGAAAGTAATGCATTTTCTTTACTCACAACTTATCTGTTAAATGCTGCTGAAAAACTTGAACATTCAACCTGATGACAGGATTCATGTTTCGCTAAAGTTCCTGAACTTTTCCCACTTTCCAAAAGTGGGAAAAGATCAAAGTCCTCACTACCAACAGAGACATCTCATCGTTGCCGTTCTTCACAGTTTCAAGTTTTTATGTTGCTTCGCAGGGCGTCTTAAAGATCACTCTGCTCTGAACACCTGTGAGCTTACCTGAGCGTTTTCTCCCATTTTAATGGCTGCTGCAGCATCTGGCGTCTGTCCTGCTAATTCTTCCCACAGAGGCGTCAGCACGTTACCGGGAGAGATGCTGCAACAAACGTCAGACACCGTTATCAGACAAAGACGGTATTATTGGAGGACACACTGTCGTTATGCTTTGTTTAAGAGGTGGAATAAAATATAAATATAGCAATATATCTGATCGCTTCCTCTTTCATCTACACTTGTGTCAGATATTCAGCAGATTCCCACGACCAGTTTGATTTACCAGAGTCACAACAACTCATAAAGTTAACGTAAGTAATTAAGCCACAATGAAGATGAAGGAATCTCACTGGAAACACTGAATGAACACATTATTTAAAGTGAATGCCACTTATAATACACTTCAACACTGGTACCACAATGCTGGGAATCTAAACCTGCTTTTTGTCTTTTTAGGGGGAATTTGTTTTTCTACAGTGAAGCAGAGATGCAGTTTATCACACACGACTGTCTCGTGATGTATTTCAGAATTACTGTATGGTGATATAAACATTGTTAGCGACACACTGCAGTATT